CCCCCCCAGACGTACGAGCAGCGCAAGGTGGTGGAGTTCACGTGCCACACGGCGTTCTTCGCCAGCATCGTGGTGGTGCAGTGGGCGGATCTCATCATCTGCAAGACCCGCCGCAACTCCGTCTTCCAGCAGGGCATGAAGTGAGCCCCCGAAACTGCCAAAAACCCCCCTAACACCCCCAAAAAACCTGCGCTAAACTTCCCTAAACTCCCAAAAAAACTGCCCCTAAACGGCCCCGAAAACCTCCCCGGAACCCCTCCGAAAAACCTGCCCTTAACCCCCCAAAAAAACTCCCCTAAACTGCCCGAAACCCCCCAAGAAACCTCCCCTAACCCCCCCCAAAAAACCTCCCCTAAACCCTCCTAAATCTCCCCAAAACCCACCCCTAAACTCCCCTGCAAAACCTCCCCTAACCCCCCTAAACTGCCCCCGAAAATCTCCCATAAACCCCCCCAAGCTCCCAAAAACCTCCCCTAAACCTCCCGAAAAAACCCTCCTAAACCTTCCAAAAAACCTCCCCTAAACCTCCTCAAAAAACCCCCCTAACCCCCCCCAAAAATCTCCCCTAAACCTCCCCAGAAAACTCCCCTAAACCCTCCTAAACCCCCCAAAAAAACTTCCCCTAAACCCCCCCAGAAAACTCCCCTAAACACCCCTAAACTGCCCCCGAAAATCTCCTCTAACCTCCCCCAAAAAAACTCCCCTAAACCCACCCAAAAACCTCCCATAAACCCCCCCAAAAACCTCTCCTAAACCCCCCAAAAACCTCCCCTAAACCCCCCTGAACCCCCTGAGAAAACTTCCCCTAAATCCCCCTAGACCCCCCCCAAAACCCACCCCTAAACCCCCCCAAAAACTCTCTTCTAACCCCCCCCAAGCTCCTCAAAAAACCTCCCTTAAATCCCTGTAAAGCCCCCGGTGCCCAGGACTCCCATCCTGGGTGCCATGGGGTGCCCAGGACCCCCATCTGTAGGAATTGGGGTGCCCAGGACCCCCAAACTCGACTCCTTGGGTACCCAGGACCCTCATACGTAGGAATTGGGGTACCCAGGACCCCCAAACTCAGGGCCATGGGTGCCTGGGATCCCCATGAGCAGGGAATTGGGGTGCCCAGGACCCCCAAACTCAACTCCTTGGGTACCCAGGACCCTCATACGTAGGAATTAGGGTGCCCTGGACCCCTCTGTCAGGGGCTGTGGGTGCCCAGGACCCCCATATGTGGGAATTGGGGTGCCCTGGACCCCCCTGCCACTGGCTGTGGGTGCCCAGGACCCCCAAACTCAACCCCTTGCCTGCCTGGCACCCCCGTGAGCAGCCAACTCCCCCCCTCCCCATCACCCCGGGGTGTCCCCCACCCCCCCCATGTCCCCCCCTCCTCTCTCCCTCTTCCCCCCAGGAACAAGATCCTGATTTTCGGGCTGCTGGAGGAGACGGCGCTGGCGGCGTTCCTGTCCTACTGCCCGGGCATGGGGGTGGCCCTGCGCATGTACCCCCTCAAGTGAGCCTTTGGGGGGTCCCCCGGCACCCCAAAAACCCGCCCCTGGCCCCCGGGGGTGCCCCCAGTGACGTGTTTTTGGGGTGTGTCCCCCCGTCCTTTGCAGGGTCACGTGGTGGTTCTGTGCCTTCCCCTACAGCCTCCTCATCTTCGCCTACGACGAGGTCCGAAAGCTCATCCTGCGCCGCTACCCCGGAGGTCAGTGGGGGCACCCCCAAACACCCCCAAAAACCTCCCTTAAACTCCCCCAAACACCCCAAAAAACCTCCCTTAAACTCCCCTAAACACCCCCAAAAACCTCCCTTAAACTCCCCCAAACACCCCCAAAAAACCTCCCCTAAACACCCCTAAAAAACCTCCCCTAAACACCCAAAAAACCTCCCCCAAACACCCCCAAAAAACCATGCCCTTAAACTCCCCCAAACACCCCAAAAAACCTCCCTTAAACTCCCCTAAACACCCCCAAAAAACCTCCCTTAAACTCCCCTAAACACCCCAAAAAACCTCCCTTAAACTCCCCCAAACACCCCAAAAAACCTCCCTTAAACTCCCCTAAACACCCCAAAAAACCTCCCTGAACTCTCCTAAACCCCCTCAAAAAACCTCCCCTAAACACCCCAAAAAACCTCCCTTAAACACCCC